ACAGGGCGCCAACCATGCGATTTGTGGACTCTGGAATGATTTAATTTGGCCGTAGAATCAGGGCACTGATGGGGCCCACTTACCATCACTGTCAGCATCAAGAAGCCGAGACCTGCATTTCTTATCTCTGTGACACGGCGCTTCCACCTCGATATGACACAGATTTCTTGCCCGACCGGAAGAAGTAATTGCTACAGCCACAAGCGGATGGATGCCACTATTAGTGCACGCACCAGGGTTTTGGTTTCGGACTTGGAGGGCTTTTAGCCTTATCTATATGGACTTCCAAGTTTCTGGTCCACCCAAAACTTGTTACCTTATTCATATCCAGATCATTACCGCGTAATACTAATGGCCACAGCCAATGATGATAGCAATCCCCAATATCCCCCTCCTCAACAGCCCTACTACTACCCTCCACAATCAGCCGCAGGATCTAGCTCCGAAGGCGCAAATGGTGGCCGCCACGTGAGGTATGCGGATGAGGGTGTGGTCCCTGCGAGACCGAGATCAAGAGAGCAGCCTGCCCAGCGTATAGGCGGAGGAAGGAGTGGCAGGCGTACCGGAACTGGCACTAGCCCAAGTTCAAGTTCGTGTCCCTTCTTTCGTTCGTGTATCAGTGCTGACCTACAATTTCAGGTCTTGGTATTTCAATTTTTAGAAATAAGAACAAAGAAAAACGTAACGGCAAAAAGAAAAGTAATGTCGTGGTTGACGATAGTACCTCCGATGATGAGCCACAACTACAACCGGTTAGAAAGAAACCTGTGGAGGAGGTAGCTTATCGAGGACAGGCTGGGGGGTCTAGGAGCGGGAGGGGTATGTTTGCTCATTACGGCTGTTGACCAAAAACTCATGAGCTTTGGTTCCTTTCACCTCAGGTCTCAGTATTCCGATACCCATTTCAAGAAGTACCGACAAGTCTAAATCCAAGTTCAAGGGTAAGGGTATTTCTAGCCCAATAAGATTTGATGAGGGCTCGGAAACAGGTTCTGTCCTCAGTATCGGGTTGGGAGTCCCGGCGGAGCAGTGGGAACGGGAAAGGGGCCTCTCCCCATTGTCGAAGCGCACTTTCAGCCCTGACACACTCCACTCCTTAAGATCCCAACCTATCCATTCTCTCCCAATTTTAGGAACGGCTTCGCGAGCTGGTTCAAGCTCAATGACGTCTAGCTCAGGGTCACGACTGGGCGCGTGGTCTGAAGAAGACGAGGAAGAAGACAATATACAAAGTGATTCTAGAGAGGGTATGAGGGCGAGCCCCGACCGCGGGAGCGACGAAACATTCCGCAGGCATCATCCACCCCCGCACTATTCTACGATTCAGGCGCCGAGTATAGATCCACGCATATATGGTGGGATGAATAAGCGCGGCGGCGCACGCCCGTTGCCACTACGCCCTGAATCCCCCATGTTATCTCCTTCCTCAAATTCTCCGTCTTCCCCACAATCTAGTTCTCCAGCCTCAACAATAACTGCCCGAGCATGGCCAATGCCCCCTAGGCCGGCTTACGCTCAGTCAGTCTCTTCTGGATCATCATCATCAATGCCTCCTACCCCACCAACGCACCATCTAGATTTATACTCTAGGAACAGCAGGTCCAAGAGCCCAGGTCCTGTCCACGGTCTAGGCTTGAGCACTTCCCCAGCGATGGTACCCTGGGGAGCACCGGGACTTGGTACTAGATCAGAAGGTAGTCTTCATAATCCCACTATCGAAATTCCAGGGAACGCCGGCAGGAACAGCAATGAACCTGGTATCGTATCTGGTGTCGTCAATGGTGTGGACGCGGCTGGTCGTCCGTACCAGTACACATACCAGTACCAATCTTCCTCTGGAGCGCCGCCCAGCCATGGCGAATTAATGGCAGCACTAGCACCGGTAAGGATATATCCCAGAGTCAAGAATCATACTCATGCCCTCACTAGTCGCAGCACTTACACGCTAGCCCAATATATCCATCTCCACCTCCTACATCTCTACCACCCCAATTTCCCCGACCCCCACCACCGACCCAGTTACCCTTACAACAGCCTATCGGTCCTAAGTCCCAACAGCGTTCCGTACCCAAACGGCTCGTCGTCTCAGGGATCGGGGCCCCTGGAGCCGATGATGTCCAATTCGATTTTGATCGTGCTCTCAACGAAATGCATCTGGTTGGAAGTGGGGACGATAAGAGTGACGAAGGCCATGGTGGCGATGATGGCAACGACTCAGACGTCGACCCCGTCCTCAGTCAAACACGGAGCAACCAGCGGCAGAGTCGGGGGAGAGGACGCGGCGGCGCGAAATCACCAGGAGACCAACATCAGAGACCAGATCGGGATCGAGAAGAAGCAGTCATACAGTGGTGCCGTGGCTTCGGGGAGGTTCTGGAGGTGAGGCGCCGTGGACAGGGGTGTCTGATGATAGAATTTTTGAAAGAGGGTATGGTTGACTACGTGAGTGACTTGTTCATTGAATGAATTGCTCAGAGGTTGACTGGGCAACATAGATCTGTCGTTCTCAGCAAGTTTACATCAAGGGGGCAGGAAAAGTAGACTTAGGATGGTGCTAAAATTTGCCGTCGCGAATAACCCACTTCTTCTCGCCCCAGTCTGCGCCGCTTATGTGTGTGTATACCCACATTTTTTTTTTACCTCTAGGTCTGATTTTGATCGTTACGGATTGGGATTAACTATTAATAGCTGTTGTGCCGCCTGTATGATTCGAGGACTCTTCTTGTCCCTTTTTCTTCCCAACTACCCCTACGTAGTTATACCCAAATTTACCTATCTACCCACGAAATAGCCTGTTATCAAGTACATGGGACAATACTAGCGGTTTTTTCTTCTCAGAATACAATCATTTTACGATGGACAGGCCAATGGGGTGGCTCGATTCCACGAATTTATTTAGGGCTGCGAAACAATTCAAATACTAGACATCCCTGCGATATGAAGTCGGAGGTATCCGTGCTACCATGACCAGTGTGTAGTTAGAACTATCATCAAGACAAATCTATGTCCTAGGCCTCCTAATCGTAAGTATTTCTTTTTATAAATACTCTTTTAGTGTCCAAGGGCGACCCTCAGGCACAAATCGGGAAGGAAGTCGAGCAGACAATCAGGAGAAGGACCCCGCCTTGACCGCGAAGAAGGTTCTTCCTCCGGGATGTTCCGTCAGTGTCCACAACTCATCTGCGTTATGATTGTATGACAAGTCTTCGCAACCAGGTGTGAAAGCACCAGTGTGTATAGTTGCTGTATTTCCTGGGACCCATGTAACTAGGTCCCCATTGGTGCTAGCTCCATTGCTCCTCGAAATGAAGAATTTGCCGTTAATGGACGTGGCACCTTGCATACGGAGGATATCGAGCTGATATGCCCAAGTTGCAGTAGCAACGCTGCTCGTCGTGAAGAGAAGACGTGTCGTGGCGTCAATTCCGAATCGAATCATGCGTGGGGCCGGGACGGTTGCATCTGCAGCATACTCACCAACAACGATAGAGTCTGGTGTAGTCGTGCGATCAAGGGAGATAAAGGACCAGCGCATAGGGGTGGCAAGGGCCGAGGCCTTGTAAGTCCGCGACTGAGGGACGACATAGGCATAGTTGAATGCCTCATAGACGGTGCTCGATTGGCGTCCTATCCCTTCTCCAATGCTGACTTTGTAAATATGGTCAAGGTCAAATACCCTGATCCCGTTGTTGGTATCCACCAAGTACAGATTATTGCCGTACCACATGAGGCCCCCACCGTGCACCTGAACAGCGCGGAACGAAGGGTTCCCAGCATCCGTAAAAGGTTCAACAAGAAGCGCATTCCGGTATGACGCAGCACCAGAAGTAGTGCGGTCGATGAAGGAAACACGGACCCCTTTACCCAGACCAGTATGGTCGTACCAATCCACGAGTATGACCTTCTTATTTTCGTAGATCCCAGTATCTAGAGCATCAGCTGATGTTGTGATCCCTTGAGGGTACCATTTATCCGTGCTGACATCGTCGTAGCCAGTCACGGCTTCCCAAGTATAACCACTTAGGAAGTTAGAAGCCGCAACAGTTTTCGTAGGATTCGCATGATTTGTATCAGTGAGAACCTGAAACATCGCCCAGTTAATAAGGAATACGTGTGATGAAAGGGTCGAAACATACCTCAGCGACTGTGACAATAGGAAGGATAGCATCCAGCTTTGCAATGTTGGTGTTGTATGTACTCTCTGTGAGCTTGAACTGACTTGCATCAAGTTGTACAGCCGATGCGAAGCCTGCGAGGAGCAAGGAGGACCATGGGAGATACGATTTCATGATGTTGGTGAATCGTTCGTTCCGAAAATCGGTAGACAACTTCCAATTTAAATCAATTTATAAGATTTCAAGATTATCCTCATGCCTGAACAGGTGATAGGCAAGAACAGCTGTGACCGCATGGACTGCTGGAGCATCGAGCAGCGAAGTGGGAGCTTTAGGTTCCGAGGGGAAAGATGAAGATCAATAAACTTCGAAAGAGGTCCAGCGAAATAGCTGGGAACAAGCACAGCAGAGGCAGATGACCAGAGGACAACAAACCCGATGGCAAGCCAGACCAGAATGCACATTATCCAGAAGTAATCTCCAGCCTAACAACGTGTGTTTATCTGCTACTTCAGGGGGTGGGGCTCCAAGCGATCTGGGAAACTGGGCCCCATGAGTTGAGGTATTCGATTCCCGCCAAGAAGTACCGAAGGAACCTCTGACATCGAACTAATTTCTCGTGCTAGTGTAAGATCGGAGTAGACTGTAGTAAGCCGACAGTATTAAAGTTCGCGCTTGCGAAGAAAGCAAGTTCACGTGGTAATTGTCCAGGTACTATCTATGTACGCGGGACCAGTGATGGCAAATACAAAAGCTTCCAAATTCCGTCGTGATCGATGGCGTTTTCTTGAGGAAAGACTCACATTGCTGGTCTCTGATGGTAAGTGCAAGGATAGGATTTGTGATGAGGAAACCTTATGCCTAGAAAAATTACAATTCAAAAAGTGAGTCGACCCAGGTTCGAACTGAGGACCTTCTGTGCGCACATGAGGTGTTAGACAGATGCGATAACCAGCTACGCCATCGACCCTTAAATTCCTGAGGATATAAAGCTTGTCGACGGCTCTGCCACATTTGGGAATACGAGGAGCCATTACCTCAAGTAAAAAAATGAGTTACATAACCCAGGCTCTGGCTGAGGTCCTCCCGTGCTCCTATGAGGAGGAGCTACTGTGAGACAGATGCGATGACCAACTACGCCATCGACACTGCATCTTAGTCTCAATAGAAGATTTCCGGTATGGCAGACGATCCAGATCGTAAACAAAACGAGAGCCACCTAGTTGTGTAAGATTGTCACTACATGTAAGGGCAAACAATGACCTCCACGAAAGAGGTTGGGTTCCAACAGATCAGGTGATCCATCGATGGGGTCAACTGCCATCGATCCACGCAAACAATACATGTTGTCTTTCGCACCGGGGTCAACTTATTTTTAGTGTTCCAAATGATCGACGATAAAAATCTGGCACATTCGAAGGTCCTAGGTTATCTTCAATCATGTCTGAGCACGAAAAATGCGAAGTTAGCCATCCATAAGCACCAAATTCATTTCTCCTCACCACTTACCTCGCTGAAAATAGCTCGACAAACCCCAAGAGCAAGAGTCGCGCCTCGTTCTTCTGTCGTTCAGCACCGCGACCGCCTGAGAGCTCGGCAGTTCCTTGCGCGCACTCGCACTGAAGGAATACCCCGACCAATCGGCCTGCATTGCAATCACACGCGCCAATGGCGTACCGCTGTTCATCACACATACAGGGGATGGTGTAAGCCCCGCATATATTGCAGAGATGGAAGCGATTAGGAATAGCATTCGCAAGTGGGAGATCGCAAGCTGGCGCCGACAGCGGCTGCTAACTTTAGGCGAGCGTCCAGAAAATGGGGAGAATGCAGCTGTGGTCAAGTTGGCAGAATATAGCATGAAAGGAGGAGGATGGCCGATTCGTGTGAGGGGTGTATTAGGTGTGGTGGCATACCTCGTTGTAGTCGGGTTGTATCCAGTGGATGGGAGGCCGCAAAGATCTAATCCACTCAAGTACGGACCACCTATTGATGTCAACCACGAACTGGTGGTGAATGGGCTTGAAGCCGTGCTGATTGGGCAGTGAGTGTTCATGACCTGTTATTACAGGAGAGGCTTTAAATAACTTTTCAGGAGAAACTCGGCTACGCATGTCGTATAATACAGTACATTCGAAGTTTATGCCTGTGAAGTGACGGTACTAGGTCGGAGGGGTATTCTGGGAAGAAAGATTATGGAATATAATAATGCCAAAGCTGAATACATACCTCACAATAACGCGTCAATTTGATGTCGCGTTTATTAAGTGGTTGGCGATGATGTGCGCGCCGTAGCCGTCTCGTCGAGAAAGTGTACACACTTTTGATGGACATTTGGGAAAATGACAACTTGTGCCTGAACGCACAATGCATCGCTTATTGAGCATGAAGGTCATTGAAATCATTAGTTATCCATGGGGTTTCGTTGACAGCAACAGCATAGGCCGCTGATTGGGAAGCGTATGTGTACGGCGTAGGCTGTTCGAAGGTATGGTGACAGTACTTAGAAGCAGCCTTATTTCCCGGTATCACACGGGAGGCTTCTACTTCTTTAACTGATATTTACCCGTGAGAGGAACTGGCCTTTTTTTTTGTAGGCCTCTTAAGCTCGAGGTCAACCCAGTGTGCGGGAGAATGCGGGCCCGTAGCAAATCCTTCCCACTGGGAAAAGGTTTTTGCGGAGGAGGGAGGTATTGTTTTTCATCCAAGGTGAGAAGAAATGGTTCATGTGAAACTGCCGCGGATAGACTCGATTGACGCTCTTCCACAGTGGTAACCGGAGCAAGGACCAGGACCAGGGTTGGCACCATGTAGATACAAGAACGAAGTTTTCTCTGGTGAGTACATTAATAAGTGAGAGGTCGTCGATGGACATGATATCGGTTATATTTAGATTGGCACTCGGCGCGGTGTTCCGGCAGAAATAGCCGTATGAAAAGCTTGGGGAGAAATCACCAATGTCTATGAATGTGGTTGGGGTGACGTCTGGAGAGTCGTCAAGGGCGAAATCGTGTTCCTGTAAAATGAAGCGCGCGGCGAGAAATTAGGGTTCGAATACATCAACCACGACAGTCGTACTGTTGGCCTCAAAGAAGTCGACGACTATATGTGAGGACATCGAACTGACGGCCGGAGCATCAGAAGATCAAGCATACTGCCTTAACTTATATTTTCGGGTGGTCATGCGCCTTCTTGAACGATGATTATCCAAATGGGCGTCAGCTGATCTGGATGGGTGAGAACCCAAGGAAACGAGGAGCGACCCCTCGGTCTCTGGGTAGCGCGTAGAACAATGGTTACTGGACCCCTTTTGGAGGAGCAGTGTGGCGAATCTGAAGTAGTTCGGTTTTTGTCTTCTGGAGAACGCACAAGTGGCGAAAACAGACAATCTGGAGCGAGTAAACGTTAAAAGCAAGTTGAGTTCTGAATAAATGAGTGAACCAAGAGCGGCAATGCTAAATTGAGTCCAAATAGGTGGCAGCCAATGAAAAGCATTTGATTGTTCCCCCCGATCACCGTACTGATCACGTGTTCGAACTCAATCAGCTTCCACCCCACGGCATCGACTGCTTTGAATACGGTTGTAAATGGACCCAACCGGCACCTAAATTCACATATATAAACTCTTCTCCCCAAGGTTTGATTCCCGATTTCTCTTTTACATTATCCACTACACACAGCTTACAAGATGCCTTCCCAGCACGTTTTTAACAACAAGGACGGTGCCACCTACACCACTTCCAATGGTGCACCTGTCAATGAGCCCTATGCAGCTCAGCGCGCAGGTCTTCACGGACCCCTATTGCTTCAAGGTATGTTCAATATTTCATGCATCGTCGGGGCAAAATCTTACGTGCACCGTCCAAAGATTTCCACCACATCGATCTTCTCGCACACTTCGATCGTGAGCGTATTCCTGAGCGTGTCGTAAGCCTCACCATCGTCATCATTACAATCTAATCGCGGGCGCTTATCGCTTTTGATCACTAGGTCCACGCGAACGGTGCTGGAGCCCATGGATACTTCGAGGTGACTCACGATCTCAGTGACATCACCTCTCAGACACTCTTGCGTTCCGTCGGTAAAAAAGTCAGAGTGACGATGAGGTTCTCTACTGTCGGTGGCGAGTCAGGTTCCGCCGATACTGCTCGCGATCCTCGTGGGTTCTCTGCCAAGCTCAGGACGGATGAGGGTAACTGGGATTGGGTGTTCAACAACACTCCCATCTTCTTCATCAGGGATCCTGCCAAGTTCCCTCATTTCATCCATACTCAAAAGAGGGACCCCCAGACCCATTTGAAGGACCCTGACGCATTCTGGGTGAGTTTCCAATTTTATGACTGGGTTGTTGCTCCAGTGCTAAATTTCTCGCCACTTGACAGGACTACCTCTCTCAAAACCCCGAGTCTATTCATCAGATGATGATTCTCTTCTCCGACCGCGGAACTCCTGATGGCTTCCATAATGAACATGGTTACTCTGGTCACACCTACAAATGGCTCAAGGAAGACGGATCTTTCGTCTACGTCCAAGTACACGTTCGCGCTGATGGAGGTTTCAAGGTACGGCATTTAATCTATTCACGCCACTGTAATACACGCCCTCAAAATTATTTCACAGACTCTCGATGATGCTACAGCTACCAGGTTGGCTGGCGAGAACCCAGATTATGGTACCCAAGCTCTCTTTGAGACCATTGAAGCTGGAAAATTCCCATCGTGGACTGTCTATATCGTGAGTATCACCGAATAATTGTCGAATGTCCGTTACTCACGCCTTATCGATTCGCAGCAAACCATGACTCCTGATCAAGCTGAGAAATTCCGGTACAACATCCTTGATCTCACAAAAGTTTGGCCACATGCCGACTACCCCCTTCGCCCCTTCGGGAAAATTGTCCTTAATGAGAACCCTCAGAACTATTTCGCTGAGATTGAACAGGTGTGTATTTCCCTCTACCTCTTTGGCCAGCTTACCAACCCCTAACTATAGGTTGCATTTTCACCTTCGCACACAATTCCCTACATTGAGCCATCCGCGGACCCTGTCCTGCAATCCCGTTTGTTCTCTTACCCCGATACTCACCGCCACCGCCTTGGTACCAACTACCACCAACTCCCCGTCAATGCCCCGTTGAATCCAGTCGCCAACTTCCAGCGCGACGGCCCCATGACCTTCATTTCTCAAGGTAATCGTCCGAACTACCAGAGCTCGATCCAGCCGCTCTCGTACAAGTCGCCTAAAGGCACTATCGACCACACTGTCCGCGATTTTGAGAGAGAAGCCAAACATGAGAACTTTATTGGAGGCGCATATCGCGAGCTCGGTATTCTCACTGAGCGTATGTTATGACAATATTAGTAAACGCCCGTTCTTACTAATCCCTCTCTTTAATTTCAAACAGTCGACTTTGAACAGCCCCGTGCCCTCTGGCAGAAAGTCTTCGACGATCACGCACGGGAAGCGTACGTCAAGAACGTTTCTGGTCACTTCGGCAAATGCAAGAGCGCCGAAGTCAAGGCGAGACAGCGTGCGTATATCCATAATCTAATATCTTCGTCTTGTGATGCTGACTCCGGAACTAATTTTTTCAGTATCCGTTTGGGCAGCGGTTGATCAAGGCTTGGCAGACCGTATCGCGAAGGCGATCGGCCATCCGCCCGTCAAGCCCATGAAAGTCGCCCCCGCAAGCGAGGCGATCAGGTTTAAAGCTGCGTTGGGAGCTTCCCTCAAGCAGACTGGGAGATTGTGAGTGAGAATGTAAGAGGCGCCTTTTTATTTGGCCCCACGCCGCTCCTTCCCCTGATACCATTGTCCGCGTCATATGATTAAATTTCAAATATCCGTGTATATGTAGCTGTACGTACGTGAAACAAGAACCTCCACTTCATTTTTGCTTGGGTCTTTAGGAAGCGATCCCTTTATGTCAGGGCTTGCGTAAACAATTCCGTTATCGAGAAGGCAGCGGAATGAAACGGGTCGATGGCGTAGTTGGTTATCGCATCTGTCTTACATCGCATTCATCGATTGTGTGCACAGAAGGTCCTCAGTTCGAGCCTGGGTCGACTCATTTTGGTCTAGCTAGGAGTATTCAATTTGCCTGAAATCTTCGGTATGAGATCGGAATACATTTAGGCGCCCGAAGTCTCAACGGGTCGATGGCGTAGCTGGTTATCGCATCTGTCTAACATTCGTGTACACAGAAGGTCCTCAGTTCGAACCTGGGTCGACTCACTTTTATTACTACAAGTTGCCAACGGTTGTACATTTGTTTCGTTGCTTTGGTTTTTTTTCGTCAAAACTGGCCCATAGATATATATCGTGATCGCACACTGAAAATTTAGTAAGGAGACAGAATTAAGATATTCAATCATTAGAACCATTTATTGCCTTATAGTTTCCCTGTTTATCTAGTTCTTGGACGACAGGCACCACACGTAAGGAGAGTAGGGTTCTTTGACATTTTCGTGTTATAACATCCTGAAACTATCAAAATTTTTGAAAAAGAGCCCCAAAATGAGTAAATTCAGAAGTATCGCTCCTTGTTCTGATAAGATGGCACTGTTTGTTACATCCTCAACTAGGGGATGATCGAGGAGCAGTTTACGCTCAAGTGCATTATTCTGGTTGCCGGGGTGGGACTGGTAGGGCGCCCTCACCAGTAGTTCTCTCTGCGTCGGACACAGGAAGTGCTTTCCGACGAAGTAGGCAAAGCCAGGTCCAGCCAGAAAATCTCCCACCATGTTGTGGCGCTTCTGGTACCTCCAAGCGTTTCTTCTCATCTCCTCGTCGTAAGATACTGTCCCACCACCACCACTTTTTTGATGACCAAATGAAGGCTACTGTCCACCAGCTATTCAAACCATCCGCCCATCCCTTCTGAATGCACCAAACAATCAAATATGCCACAAAGAGGGAAATGATTCCCACAACGGAGCATGTCGCGATGTCGGAAGACTGGAAACACATAGAAAGAAAGGCAATAAAAAATGTCACTAGCCTGAAGTATGGAAAAAATTAGTCCTTGAAGATGCATTCCAGGTTTTTGCAAAGTCCCACCCCCATATAAGTAGAGCATACGGAAGGCTGTATATAATGGCCAAAGCTTCAAAGCCGCGCGTTGGATGATCGTTACACATTAAAAAATTGTTCTGCATGTGTTCTTCAGCACAATCCCGAAACAGTAGTTCACTGACCTGGTCCATGATACTGCTGCGGTCTCTAGTCTGATATTGACGAACAAGCAATAACCCAAGTAGTATACTCGAAGAGCTAGTCACGACTGAAATATAGCTTGCAACCTGAGCTGGTGACCGATGCGATGTGTTAGAGCTACCTCCATGGTCATTGGAGGGAATAGCCAGGAAAGCCACATTTGCATTCAAAAGGATTGCTGCCTAAGATTTATAATAAGCTGTTATGTCTTCTGCCTCAATAGAAACTGTAAGCACATAGGTAGTATACCACTTCCATTCTGCGAGCAACTGGGTGAAAAAACTGGACCAAGGACCTTTGAGTGTGAGTCTATCCACCCATAGACCTTCCATTATTTTCAGATGAACGTCGGGAGCCGAAAAAAACAGGGGTGACATGGCCTTGATAAGCCATGTCGGGGAACGTTTAGGAAGATCATAGACAGTTTGGGTTCGTGATAGACGGGCGCCATATTTACCATAAAAGTTGTGAAATTGAATTTGGCCTACGTCAAATATCAATGTTAAGATTGTTTTCATATACTTAAAATGTCGAGGAGCTTACGAACTAAAAACATGAATCGCCCTACCATTAAAAATCAATAAATACCATGGAATAAAAAATATTAACCTAAGCTTACCAACGAACCAACTAGTAGGGCGTTCTGAATTCTCGCGCAACAACTGTTCTGTAGATTTTATTGGTAAAGATTTATGAAATGGAAGAAATGTCATAAAAGATGATATACTTCTGGCTCCTTCAATAGAAACTTCCCAATTCTTTAAATCCTCCATCTTAAAATGAAAGGATGTTTGTTCAGGAGATGTTAACAGATCTGAAAATATTTAGTTCTGTTCAAAACAACATGCAATTCATACCTGTGCGGATGTCGCTTACGAGATTCGACATCATGTCAAGAATCGGCTGAGTTACATCGTGAACATCAGGAAAAAAGGACCAATGATACCTGTTTAACAAAATACGTCAGGTCTGTCAGCAAGGATGGAATTTTGGTTAGGAGATTACCAGTACTGGCACTCTAGTTGAATTTCTAGATTAATCATTAATCATGGTAAGAACGGCATAGAGAAAATAAAGAGGGATAAGCTCACTGATCTGCACATCCGACACCTCGGTCGGAGCTATAAAAAGCTTAGTGATATCATGTTGCTCCAACCAAAAGATATTGGGGGCTGTTAGAGAGACATAATAGTACCCACACCGGCGGCGTTGACCATTGTTTGCGATTTGTATGATTTCTTCTACCTCTAGAACAAGGTGGCAATCCGGAGTTAAATCGAATCCCAACTCCTGAATAAAGGTTTTCAACGTTATAAAAGAGTCATCGAGGCATTGATATATTTCGTTGTTGAAAATCCATGATTCGGTGATGATTTTCTGAAAACGCATCAATTGGAATACATTCATAAAATATGTGTATTACTTTTGATTTGTTGTAGAACGTTGGTTGACCTTCAGGATGTATTATTTGCACCCATCCTTCAGGCAATACACCAGGCCTGTAAACAGCGATTGCTAATGAATCGTACCCGGTCAAGTTAGTATGTTACTTACCCGTCGGAGAAATTCCTGGTGTTCGGCAGAACCTGTACAGGGCGCAAGTATTCGCGCCTTGCGCTTAAAAGAGTATGAAAAAGTACTGCATTTAACTTGATTTTACAACTTACATTGGACGTTTCCTCCTGTAGCGTTCCAAATCTGAGGGTAGTAGGGGGTAGACGTCAGAGTTGACATGTAATGATGGACCCCCAAGTATGCCATTTTCCATTTCGGGGTATACGATGATGCTAGAGTAGGAGTCGCTTGCCTGGCGTTGAATTGTTTGCAGGGAGGCGTGGTGGGTGGATGTGGCCGGGCGAGATGAATCAGAAGAATCAGAAGATTGAATCGACAGGTGACGAGTCCTAGGGGAAAGACCAGGTGAAGGATTTTCATTGGCGTTACCGGGTAACAAGCCGGAGGCGTCCCGCGGTATTTCTGTTTCGAAGGGCGTGTTCGGACCCGGCTGAGAGTTCGGGAGATGTATAATATCTCCAGATCCACTTGGAGGATTATCTGGTGGAACAACTTCGATTTCGACTTCAACCAGCGAGTCGACCGACGATACACCAGAGTTTCTTGTAAGCACGCTAGGGGTTGTGAATGATGCGGGCTCATGCAATCCACAACAGGGAGAACCCGCGGCTTGTACAGGTCCCCTTTTGTGCGGAGCTGATAATAAATCTTGAGGGTCTGAACAGTCGTAACCACGATCTGATTCAGATGTTGATTTGATTCCAAGCAATAGCGTCCCTATTTTTTGTAGTTGGCGCCAAATGTACGTGTGGACAGCCTGCCTAAGCCAGACGATTAGTTTTTGAGGAAAAAGGTGAAACAAGACTCGTATATGCTGTATCGTTCTGAAGAGGTCAGTAGTCATTGAGACGTTATGGAAGGTACAAGTGAGTAATCAGCTGAAGAAGCGCCAGAAACTCGTGTAGAAAGTGAACGAGCGTCTAAGCCCTTGTCTAAATTAAGGAGCTTTCATAAAACCACACTAGAGCGGCCCCCGCTGTTTGGCGCTTTGTCGAATTTTTGCATTTGGGGGCATTGATAATAGCCTTTCTAGTGCGTTTTGTCAGTGCCATCCCCACAGGCTACAGAGCAATAGCACAGATGTTGGCTGTCTGGACATTACGATGGCAAACGAGTTCAGAACCTCGTGAACTTAAATATAACTCTCGCCTTTGGCGTCTTGTAGGGGGACTTGGGGATATACGTTCATCAACGGCCATAGGTATCGGAGGTTCAGCGTTCAAAATGCAGGACGAATTTACTGTCAAGGACGCTGACCGGATTCCGAGTCCGAGTCGCCGCCGGCTGGCCGGAAACGAAACTAAAGCCACGCGCGCTTGTTTTTTTTCGATGCTGATGCCGAATTGTTTGGGATAACATCCCATGTCCTGTCCAGTCGTTCACTAGAGACCTTCGACCTTGTTATACGGCATGAAATGGGCATCATTCGTCCACTGACAACCGTCTTACACAGTCTGTCCTTGGATATCGGAATGCTTTAAATGCAGTAACGAAATACGCGGGCTTCAAAAGTTAAGGGAATCCGGGAATCGGCATGAAGAGAATAAAAGCATTTATATGGGCCACATAGTTCTGAACCTGGATGGCGGGGATGGGGCTACTGGGACTTGAAAGAAACCCGAAGGTTGCTATCACAGACGCAAATCCAGATCTTGTCTGCAGCCATGCAGCCACGGCCCATCCACCCTGCCATTTCGTTTCTTAAAATAAGCTCGTTAACCCCTTACGATACGTCACACACTAAGGCACTTATCTTCCTTGGAATTTAATTGTGTCAAATTATCACCCTGCATACGTTTTAGCGTGGGTTCCAGCGAGGGTGAAGCGTCGAGCAACGCCTTAAAGAGCGATACTAGGCCTGACTCCAACTTTCACAATCCCATCCTCGTCCCAGCATTCTCTTGAATGAACCTCGCCACGAGAGCTCTAGTGCCACCCGAGTTGTTTCCTGTTGAGCTCGCGTTTCTGGTTGCGACATGGGTCGAGGTGCAGACCAATCTCCATTCACCAAACTGGACAATTAATGTTAAGCTCTATGTGGGACGTAGGTTCTTTTGTACGGTAAGCGACTTTTCAGAATGACGACTCCATTTAGTTAACTGATTATTTCATTGGACATAGGCATATACACTTGCTTGTTCTTCGAATCCCTATACATTATGCTTAAGAAACGGAAGACTCGAACGTGGTCCGGAAAGGTACTTTTACCTTATTTTGTACCCAGGCATCTTATTTGACTCCATATTAGGTCTTTTTAATGGCCATATTGTTGATGTATAT